CGGTGCCCGGCCTGATGCTGGCCGTGGCGGCCCCCTCCTTGTCGTGGCAGGAGTGATGGACTTGGGCGGTGGGCGCAATTCTACCCCTAGTTTTGCCCAGAGGTCCACGCCTATCAACACGGCATTGTCCAGTTGCGGGAGCACGGAGAAGCGGTGTCGGTGCGATTTTCCTTGCAACTTAACCGTCGTCTCGATAGTCTCGACGATATGGACCTGGGTCCCGTCGGCGGCGTATCTCTGCTGCCCTGGGGTCTGGACTCGATGATGTACGGCTAACTCGGCGGGCTGTGTTGGCATTAAGAAATGATATCTCCGAGCCGGAATCGAGGAGGCCCCAATACTGCTGCCCGGCGATCTGGATCAGGAGGTGCGGTCTTGGATTATAGTTTAAGCAGAGTCGGGCTGGACGACGGCCGCGACGTCTCCGGCCCGCGCCCCGTTTCCCGTCGGGGGTGACAGTCGCGGGTAGGACCCCGTCTTTGCCGCATTTGGAGCAGAATTTCTTAGGCGGTCTCTTACAATTTATGCGGGTATGCCCTCGTTGTTTACAACCGCCAGCAGCATTCCTCCCGACTATAGGTCGCGGAAGCTACGACCGGGGTGTGACTCGGCAGGGTGTCCTTTCGCCGTTCTTGCCTGCGTCGGTCGACCTCCTCGTATTCGGCGGCTCGGAAGCTGAGGTCTCCGACGCTGAGCACGTCGGTTCGACGGATGTGCAGTTGGTACTCCGGGTCCATGTTCTCATATAACTGTTCTAATTGATCCAGGGTGAATATCCCCAGCCCGTCTCATCATTGTCAGGACCTCGGTAGCGTACCTCTGGAAGGACTCCTTCGGGCGCTGTTGTCGTCCCTGGATCGTCCTTTTCATTTGCCGTTCGTACCCGCTCGGCAAGTATTGCCGACGGATGGCTTGTCGAAAGTCGGCCCAGCTGGCTATGGTATCGCGGATGTTGCGATACCATAGCAGGCATCTCCCCGTAGGAGTTTCTGGTAGTCCCAGTAGCATCTGGGCGTCGGTGTATCCGTACCCCAGGCACAGCTCTTCTGTGCGTTCGAGGAATGCCAAGGGGTCTTTGCCATCAAAATGGCACCCCCATTTCCGGATCTGATTCATGACCTTAGCTGGTTCGATGAGTGTCGGGGAGGTAGGTCCTTCGTCCTTGGTTGGGCCTTCATGGCCATCCCGACGCGAATAGTGGGCACGGTCATACGAGTTTGGAATAACGCGGGTTTTTGCCCGACAAATCGGCGGAGGAGTCGGCGGATCTCGTCAAGAGTCCCCTGACTCTCGAGCCCGTGCCTCTCGGCCAAGGCAATGGCTTCGGATTTTGACAATCGGTTAATCCACGCGGGCATTTAAACAGGTCTAAGCGAGTCGGAATCTCCACTGGGCAGGTCCCTGTTCGGGCGCCATGTAACGGTTCACCACCTTTCCCGACGCCGCGGATCGGCTCGCCGGTTCCAGGATTCGGGAGGAAGGGGGAAATTCAGACTCGCTTATTCCTTAATATAAAATAGTGGGTTTATTCAAATAAAAGAACAACGAAAAGAATGTTTAATAGCAAGTACAGGTCATCCTACGGTTTTAGCGGATCGCTGGTATACGTAGTGAACGGTGATCGCACGGAGCGTCCGGTGGCGTGAAGCCTGAACAAAGAACTTAAGAGCTACCCGTATATGTACAAAGCGTGAGGATCGAACGGAGCGTCCGGTGGCGTAAAGCCTGAACAAAGAACTTACGAGCTACCCGGTATATGTACAAAGCGTGAGGCTCGAACGGAGCGTCCGATGTATTTACAAGCTCGGAGGCGTATAGCCTATAACGGTGTCCAGATGGGACTTACAAGTTACCCGGTATACGATACTGGAGATACAACAGGCGGAGGCGCATAGCCTATAGCGGTGTCCTGATGGGACTTACAAGTTACCCGGTATACGATACTGGAGATACAACAGGCGGAGGCGCATAGCCTATAGCGGTGTCCTGATGGGACTTACAAGTTACCCGGTATACGATACTGGAGATACAACAGGCGGAGGCGCATAGCCTATAGCGGTGTCCTGATGGGACTTACGAATTACCCGTATACGATGCTGGAGATACTAGGTACGGGCGTAACGCCTTTATTCCAAACGGAGAGCGGTGGAGCCCACGTACGGCGGCATATAGCCTTATAAGGATGTCCGGAAACCGGGAAACCCGTATAACGACGAGAAGCCCGTCGCCCGGATGTTAGCAGGATGAACCGGAAACTGGGAAACCCAGTGTAACGACGAGAAGCCCGTCGCCCGGCGTATTACAGGAGGAGACCGGAAACCGGGAAACCCGGTGTTACAACGAGAAACCCGTTGCCCGATACTAACGGTAGGAACCAGCGACCGAGAAACCCGGCACTTTCACAACGAGAAGCCCGTTGCCTGGTCTGGGAGATTTGGAACGGGACTGGTGCCAGCTCGTCCGCCGAGCCGGCTTATATACCCGTCCGGCGGTCCCCCACCCGCGTCGAATTCGTGGCGGGGTACCGCGCCGGGATCGCGGTGGGGCGTCCCCGGGTGGGGCGGCCCGTGTGGAACGATTAGGGGCGCCTTTAGGCGCCAAAGCCTCACGGGCGGGCGGCTGATCGGCCCGCGAGCGTTAGTAACGGCTGCGCCGTTACAATAATAATATATTTGTTATTTTGTCGCCAAACTACCAATCTACGAAAATCATGTGATAAAAGGTTGTTATAGCGACGTTCATGAAATATACCTATATATCGTTTTGAAATATTGAATTTAATTTTTTTGTCGCCAAAACTACTTTGTCGCCAAAACTACCAATCATTGCAATGTAAAGGCTGTTATGGCGACAGTCATGAAATCTGCCTATATATATATCTGCCTATTAACAAAGTACAGAAATTAACGCGGAAAGCTATTATATATTTATTAATGCTTTTAATAAATATTTATGTATATATTCGAATTGCTTGCTTATTCGATGAATGATAGCAAAAGAAGTATTTTTGGATGTATTGTATATATTATATGTCAATTGACTATTTTAACGACATCCCAAAAGAGATATACTTTTTTGCTATCATTCATCAAATAAGCAAGCAATTCAAATATAACGTCCATACATTGCATTTTCATAAATCCAAGAATTTATCTAAAAAGTTGTCTATTCATTTACAGCAGTATTATTATGTAAGACGGTACACATAAATATAAACTTTAAAGTATAAATTATATACAAATATAATATTGATATTAATACAGAATTATTTTTTTATTTCCAAATATATTCCAAGATATAACTTCAAGAATCTCTGCAAATAAATTCATGAGCGTTGATAATTTTATTACAGAACGTAAGATTCTATTAGCAGAGACTATAATATTAAGCTCTCGCATAAAAGATTTTCATGATTCGTAATGTATTTTTTCTTGATATCGGTGAAACTTAGATCTGTGGTTTGCCCATTATTATTCACTAATTGTTATCTTCTGCTAAAATAAAAATAAATAAGATATAATATTAATAAGCAGCGTGACATGAAAATATTCTTTGTGTGTACTGCAATCTTACCCTTAACTGTTATCATAATAATTCAGGCTTCCTTTAGGTTTAACATACAGATGGATAAAGTGAAAAAAATTTATATGGTAATTGCACCATATTTATCCCATTACTTATACATGTTGCACACTATGCATTATTTTAGAAAAGGTCCCATTAAAAATAGAAAAAAATTGATTAAAAATTATTAAACTTACGTTACATACTCTTTATTACCTACAAACTATAACTATGAAAATATAACAATACTCACTTTAAATTAAATGTGTTCTATACATTCTATAGTATAAGTTTCCACCGAATATTAGTAAGAAATCCATTACAAGCATGAGAATCTTTTATGCGAAAGCTTATTTTACAGTCTCCGCTATTGGAAGCTTATGTTCTGTGATAAAATGGTCAACGCTTCTTCATTAGCTTGCAGTGTCTGTTAAAGCAATAATGATTTCATATATTTGACAAGTTAGAAGATTGAGTAGCATTTATATTGCTATTCAGTTACTGAATATATCAGTGAAGCCTGTTCTTTAGCATGACATACTCAAATGCAGCATGTTGTATATTATCTATATCACAAAAGAAAATTTTTATATTTTATTTTTTTAACCGCTTCACACACACACGCACAATAATTTTTATATATAAATATTTAAATTATCTATGTAATTAATAATATATTCCAACAAGTACTCATTAATATTTGCTTACTTTCTGAGTGGCTGTAAATGTAAACTAATTATATATTGATACATTTTATACACAAAATGAATTTGAAAAATTATAATAAATTTACAATAAATTGCCAAAAGTCACATTTTGCTACTTCTAAAACCTAATTATTTAAAATTCCTCAACATTTATTCAAATTCCTATTAGAATGTAGTAAAACAAAAAATTATAATTCTTAAACTAAAACATAATACAGTTTGAAATGGGTTGGCATATTGTATAATACAAGGATCATCGTGCGCTGCATATTGGAGACAGCATAAAAAGAGATATATCTTTGACAGTCAAAATATGAATATATAGAATAAGAGACTTACAATTGCATACAATGTATCTAGATCTGAATGAAATATCTATGCATTAGTGCATTGCAAGCACTACATCTATATAAGAACTACATCTTTATACTACTAAAGCTATAAGTTCAGTGATATAGATAATTCGATGCATATGACATATAACTCCTTAAAAGATTGATATAAGTTATATACACACATTAACTGAATTGAAAAATACATGTCTTTATTTTTTGAACATGATATAACAATAAAAGCAGATTATATCTTTAATGAATATAATTAAACGTATCATATTTTTTAGTATAAACTATAAAAATAAATGCTTAGTATTGAAAGATAAATATATATGTATTGTACATCAATGAATAACGAAATCTAAAAATCTTTTTAATTTAATTTACATCTTCATGTCCTTTTTTGTTTTTCCTTTGCTTAATCTGTAAACAATAAATATTTTTTTATATGTATATGCATATATGTATGTATCTTCGTTAAACATATGTATAAATTTATATCTTTCTGTAATTATTATAAAATAAAAAATGTATAGATCTGAAAAATTGAAATTTAGCCAATGTAGAATATATGTCAATGAAATTGCGTTTCTATTTTGATGTATTTTTGTAGATTTTAGATATATTGTATTTAAAATATAACTTTTTTCCAAAATATGTCTTAAACCAAAAAGGAGGATCTGTCTGTAACTCTTTGAATTCTAAACATAATTAGAAAGAAATAAGTAATAAATAATTAGAAAGAAATTAGTAAAGTCAGATTTTTTAAAACTTTGATTTCTATATGTATACATTTCACAGATTATATTGGCTAAATTTATTTCAATTTTAAAGAGCAATTAGAAACATTTGTTTCAAAATACATACATAACACAAACTTTACTGCCCACTGTTGGCATTGATTACATTTTAAAAGAGGAAGCGGTCCTTCTATTGTTAGTGAAAGACGTTTAATGCAATAGGCACAATATGCATGTCCACATCTTAAGGCATTGATCTTGTTTTCCACAAGTGGAACATAACATTTATTACATACTGGTGTGCTTTCTACAACTGAAAGATAACTTTGATTAATTTATCTCGATATTTATATATATGTATGTAATAAATAGACAAATATATTATGTAGAAACTTACGATTTCTAACAGCTGTTCCACAGGCCAAACATGGAAATAAACATTCGCCCAACATATTTAATGTACAGGTCGTAACTTTCAAATCTTCGGAATAAGTTTCCCTTAATACATATGCTAATCGTTTCATTTCTTTATAAACAGTTTCCCGAAATGGACGTATATTTAGATTAATTTCAACGACTTCATCGTTCGTAAGGAATACTTTTTTACATAAATTTTCTTCATCACTAGTACATCTTTCTACTTCATGTCGCATTTTGCAAGGATTTCTTCGACATACACGAAGCATATAATCACGACAAATCATGTTAAAAATATAAAACGCAAAATAGAGTAAATAAAAATAAATTAGCAAATGGCTAAATAAAAAACGACAAAAGCAAAAACAACACGAGCGAATTAAACCACACAAATAGTATAGCGTTTTTGAATGAAGGAAGTTTAATCGATCTGAGAGCGATCAATAGGTGCGTTCAGAATACACAACAGTTGAGCAACGTTACTAGATTAAGCTATATTTATATCGCTATTTAATATATAAAATCTAGTAATGTTGCTCAACTGTTGTGTGTTCTGAACACACCCAATGACGTCATTGACCAATCACAACCATTTATTCTTCAAAGAAATGGTTGTGATTGGTCATTGATCGCTTTCGGATCGATCAAACCTGCTTCATTGACTATGGGCTCCTGCAACGCGTTCCGCGCGGCGGAAGCCGACGCGATAGCCAATGGTAAAAATTAGATCGAATCAACTTTTGACGCGCGGTAGAAGTTATGTATCTATTATTTCCGAAAACGCGGCAGTCTGGGTATCGATTCTGTAACTTTTTTAAAGTGAAAATGTGAAAAGTGAAAAATTCTCGCCAATCACGCATTGATTTTAAAATGAAATCGATGTGCAATTGGTGGAAATTTTTCATTTTTCACGTTTTCACTTTAGAAAAAGTTACAGAATCGATACCCTGATTGGCTATCGCGTTGGCTTCTGCCGCGTGGTAAGCGTTGCCGCGTTCTGTGCAGAAGCTCTATGTTTCCACTAGAGTCCTATAATGGATCTAGTTTTCACCGAGAGTCCGAATCGAGTCAGAGTCAAAGATTTGTTCGCGTCACATGCCCCAACATGATCCTTTTCACTCCAATGCGATCCTATTGGAGCTTTTATCTAAATTATCCAATAGGATCGCATTGGAGTGAAAAGAAGCATGTTGGGCCCCAACATGCACAAGAGTGGCTTTTTACAACTAAAACATACTTGTAATTATTAATTATAATTATTATTAATTAATAATCATTTTTAATTAAATTTTTAAATTTAAGTAAATTATTTATATGTAGACTTAAATATATTTATAATTAATAAATTACTTTATATTTGAAATATATTTTTTTTATTAATATTGATTTATAATATTAAATTAATATAATATTATATATTTCTTATATTTTATATTTTATTTTTCTCGCATTTTGGATCGCATATGACAATACGACTCGCCGTCAGTGACGGCCCGTCGCCAGTATTCCAGAGTCTGAAATCCAGATTAGAAATTCGCTCGAAATTCTTAATTATATTTAGAATTTTGAAGTCGTCACGTATCCCTCTAATACCCCCATCCGGCGGCTGGATTCCGGGACCGTTCTGAACGGCCCGGCGGTGGGGATCGTGACGTGACATACAGAGGGTTCTCCGATCGTACTGGCTGCAAATGTGGCTGGTCCGTCTGCGAATATGCAGCACTGGGTCAAAGTCGAGTTGGGGCACAGAGCTTATACTAATGGAGAGGTCGTAGCGCGCGCGAAAAAGATCGAATAAGAGAGAAAAAAATATTAATATTTCTGTATTAAGGGGATGCCGGAGTGACGGCCGAACTCCGATAGGTTAGCACCACACATATCTAAACATATACACGTATACACATATACACACGATAGGTTAGTACCACACATATCCACACATATGCACGTATACGCATATACACACACACATATGCGTGAAAATGTTTTTAATATATAACTTTTTTATTAGACTTGCAATCTCACTTTTTATTGTTTATTAATATTTCTTCATGTTAACCCTATCGCGTATACTATATTTTATGCACAGATAAACTGCAGAACTATTTTTATTAAATAAGTATTGTTACGAACTGACATGAAAGAAGCCGATAACAAAACTGTAATTTTTGATTTTTATATGATTTATATATGGAATTATAGCTAACGCGGTCCATTTTTATAAGTACTTTAATCGTGGAAAAGGATTTATTGATTCGCATAGTCAATAAAAAGATATCCCAAAATAATCTCTATATATTCGCATTCGGTCGGTAAAAACGTACCTCCGGCATCCCCTTAATAATAGACCGTCAATCACCGTCAAACGATTCTACATCAATTTATGTAAAAAAATTTTAAATATTATGGGGTGCTAACTGAAAAAAGTAGCAAAATTTGTTTATAATTAAACTAATTACCGTCAAACGTTTATAATGGACCATCATTGATCATCAAACGACCATCAAACGATTGCATTCAAAAGAAATCGAATCGGTTGTAAATGGGGTGCTAACTATATGAAGCCGATTTTACGATGAATGTAAACCCGGCTTAAGAACGGACTACGAATACCGGCCTTAGGTGTCGTACATAGTATATACGTTGTATCTAGTATAACTTTCAGTTAATACTATATATCATTGCTGTTGTCGTTTATATTATTCTATTATCATTTTATCTTGCTAGTGTCGTTTTATCTTGCTATTGTCATTTTATAAGAAAAATCTTTATTGTCGTTTGTTGTCATTTGTTATTACCGTTTTATAAGAAACAGATGTCTTATTACGGTTCAAGGTAAGAAGTATCTAAATATCTTACCATTCAGCAAATTTTTAAATATTTTACGAATCTTTTTTATCATTTTTATTATATAATTAAACAATTTTACAATTATACAATTCTTTTTCTCTTTTTGATTATACTTCTTTACAATTATATAATTTTTTAAAATTATATTTCACTGTGAAAAATGCTTTTTGTTTCAGGAAGTCAATTGTTAAAGATTGCTTAAATTTTACAAATAATTGTTGTTTTGATCCAGATTGCAGGCTTTTACATAGATACAAATACTGCTTTCAATATCAGAATACCACATGCCGCAATAAAAGATGTCAATTTTTACATTGTACCAGCGTGGAACAACTTCGCTATGAACAAACAGGAATAATGACTGAGAATATGAAAAGAGAAGTCGGCCGAACTCTACAAAATACTAATATATGTGGGGATTTTAAAATTAAAACTTGCAACAGACCAAAGTGTAAATTGCGGCATATCAAAGTACAAGATTTAAAGCCAATGACATGTGTCATATGTACAAATGATATAAGTGTTACAAATTTTGGTGCTGGAGATTGCGGACACATATTATGCTTAAATTGTGCTGTACGAACCTCACAGGATGTGGATGGACCAGCATTAAAAATATTATGTCCAATATGTAGATGTGAAAATGAATATAAAAAACTATATTAAATATTCTTAATACCTTTATAAAAATACTATGCGGAAGTCTTTCTTGATAATATTTCAAAATAAATAAATATTAAATATATTAAATTAAAGATAAATATATAATTTATGGAAGATAACCTCGACCGTGATATACATGTTTTATAGGATCATGAATTACCTGAATTACCTTAAAAAGAGAGTTAACTATTACTAATTATTTATTAAAAAGTTAAAAATATGTTATTGTTTTTGTTATATTTTATGTAGTACTTTGTTTTTTATTCACTTGCTATTATAATTTTATAAGAAAGGATGTCTTACTACAAGATGGATTACAATTACATTTTTGTTTTATAATTGTACAATTCTTTTCTTGATTAGATATGTCACAATAAAAAATGCTTTTTAGAAGACCAATTATTCAAGATTGCATTACAGTTAGATACATATAATTGTTGTCTTAATCCGGATTGTGGTTTCCTATAATAGCCTGTGTAATATCTTATTACATTTCCTATAATCTATAAATAATGTATTTTGTTTTCTTGTTAAAAATATAAATACACATATAATTTATAAATTCATTCTTGTTCTAATTATATGTATTAAAGTAAATAATGTATCTGCATAATTCTGAAAAAATTGAAATTATTTTGTCCAATGCAAAATGTATGCAAATGATATTGTGTTTCTATTTTAATGTAATTTCTATATTTCATGATATTTTACGATAATTTTTCACGTGGAAAAGAAAAAGAGGAGAAAGGAACGGTGTATAAGTTTAGCTAAACAGAACAGATTTACTAGTAGGATATTTTATGATAAATATTCTACTAGTGTGTTTATCATACAATATAAATCAGAAATATAAAATATAGAAATTACATTGAAATTGAAACACAATATTATTCGCATATATTTGCATTGAATCAACTAATTTCAATTTTTCAAAATTATGTAGATACATTTTTTATTTTAATATAATTAAAATAGGAATATAAATTTATATATTATATGTACATTTATGTTTTTAACAAAAAGACGAAACATTCATATTTACAGATTAGGATTATGAATATTGGCCTTTCTCTGCTAAATGTAGTTACATGACGTAATTGCGCCTGCGTATAAAAGGTCTGTTCTTTTCAGCTGAACTGGCTGCAGTAGTTTAGAGGTTGTCTTTTTCCTTCCAATGTTGAGCAAAAGACATCCTCTGAACTAGTGCAGCCAGTTCAGCTGAAAGGAACAGACCTAAAGTCTAATGGCTTCTGCACACAGGACGCGGAAATGCTTGCCGCGCGACAAGAAGCGACGCGATAGCTAATAAACCTACAGCTCTTATTAAAAAGGTATGTTGATTAGTTACCGCGTCGCTTCTTGCCGCGCGGCAAGCATTTCCATGTCCTGTGTGCAGGAGCCATTACTCTCTGCATACCAATGTTTGAAAAAGGTATGAAAAGTGCGGAAACCATTACTATTACCCCTGGTCCACAATAGGTGATTTAAGCTCTAAGCTTTAAGAAATTGATCAATCACAGTTAGGTATTAGGAGAATACTCGACTATAGATTTGTTCGCGTCACATGCCCCAACATGCTCCTTTTCACTCCAATGCGATCCTATTGGATAATTTGGATAAAAGCTCCAATAGGATCGCATTGGAGTGAAAAGGAGCATGTTAGGGTATGTGACGCGAACAAACCTTATGATTGGTCAATTTCTTAAAACTTAGGGTTTAAATCACCTATTGTGGACCAGGAGTTAGAATTTTATATTTAATTTTTTATATTTAAGATCGTCTTAAGGTCGGGTTCACCGATAGGTGATTTAAACCCTAAGGCTGGCTTCACATGGAGCGTAACTTGCGCCGACCAATCACATTATCTCATTTGCAGCTGATACTCAAATGAGACGATGTGATTGGTCGCCGCAAGTTACGCTTTACGCAAGTTACGCCTCATGTGACGGCACCCTAAGGTTGGAGTCCCATGGAGCAGATTGTGCGGAAGCGGAATTAGCGGATTACCAATCACGAGATTGTTCTGATGTAACCTTTTCAAAGATTACGTCGAAGCAGTCCTGTGATTGGTGATCCGCTAATTCCATTTCCGTGCAATCCACTCTATGGGACTTCAGCCTAAGCTTTAAGGCCATTGCACGTAAAAAAGTTTTAGTCATAACCGTAGGATTTGACCAATCGCGTTGTTTGATTCTTACTGCTACGGTTATGGATGGCCGAATCGAGCAACGTAATAGGTTGAATCTTACGGTTACGACTAAAACTTTTTACGTGCAATGGTTTTAAGGCAGCGCGAGTAACCTCACCGAAAAGAAATACGTCACTGTTTAAAACTTAGGTTGCGTTCCAAAACGTCCTCTTCGAGGAAAATTTTACTTAAAAAGCTATAGTGTACGTTACGTGCATTATAAATTTTCAGTGGAATTTTCCTCGAAGAGGACGTTTTGGAACGCAGCCTTAAATAATAAGGCTTAGGGCTTATATCACTTATTGTATGCCGGGACTTAGGCCTAAATTCATAGTCCGATCTTATATTTAAGATCGTCTTAAGTCCGAGCTTAAGACGCCACGGAGCCATTTGATTGGTTGAACAGGATCTTAAGTCAACCACCGACCAGATTTAAAACGATCTTGAATATAAGATCGGACTATGAATACCGGTCTATGAATATCGGTCATATGGCTCCTGCTCACAGGACGCGGAAATGCTTGGCGCGCGGCAAGAGCGACGCGGTAGCCAATAAATTACAGCTCTTAAGGTGCCTTTTTATGCTGACGTTAGACGGTAAATTTCAGCGTCAAAAGACGTCATGTGATCAAAATTGACGAATTGGTATCTTTATTTTTGGTCACGTGACGTTTTTGACGCTGAAAATGAGCATCGAGCGTCTCCATGAATTTGCACCTTTAAGGCGCAATTTCACGTGCCGCTAAAACAAGCGATTGAAGCGACAGATTTGTCGCTTGTAATCCAGCGTCAACAATTTTGTAGTTTGAATCAGTTCAACTACAAAGCATTTACTGCTCAAACGCTGATGCACTGTCACAGATTAGTTGATAGTGTCGTGTATACTGAAGAAAACATAATGTGTTGATGACATGCGAAAATAATTAATAAATCTTGCACTTTCTGATCTTATATATGGTAAGGCTTTATAAAAGTCATGCTCGTTACGATTTTGAAACAGCGGTGCAAAACTTTTTTTTAGAATATCTTTTTTGAGTTTGATTTGTCAACAGCAAACTAATAGCAAAAATAATATCATTGTTATATTTGATTTCACTTTCTCGAATCATGTACGATTACAATTTAGTAGCCAATTGTTATATTTTTGTTTTCTAGAAGCCATTGCGTAATATACAAATTAATATAACTGGTTATACACAAATAATGCAAATTTTGTTTTTAACTGATTACACAAACGACGCAAAATTTGTCTCTCAACTTTCAATTCTGTCGCGCTACTATCCTTTTCATGTCAAAAATTATCGCTGTTTAGTTTAGCGACAAAAGTTGTCACGTGATCATTTTTGTCGCTCAAACAATCGGTTTCAGCGGCTCGTGAAAAGGCACCTTTATTAAAAAGTGGTACGTTGATTGGCTACCGCGTCGCTTCTTGCCGCGTAGCAAGCATTTCCACGTCCTTTGTGCAGGAGCCATTACTCGCTACCATAGAAACTCGATACCAAAAAAAGCGCGAAAGCCATTACCGTTAGAATTATTACGTCTTTGATGATTAGAATTATTACTTTGATGGTCGTTTATTTTGCTATTGTTAATTTGTCGTTTAATTTGCTATTGTTGTTTTGCTACTGTTGTTTTAATTAGACAAACGAAATACTAATATTAAAATTAATTGATGCAAAAATCAAAATGTATTATCTATTATGTAGCAACAAATATTATAGTGTTTACAACATAAAACAGCTAAAGACAAAAAAGATTAAAAAATCATGCATTATCGCAACCAACAGTAAGTACAATAAAATATAAATTCATATACTTTAAAATAAAGAAAATATCTAGAACATTCAAATTCTAATATGATTTATTTGTATGATTCATTTTTTGTAATAAAAGTGCAAAGTATTATAATTTTATGAGCAATTATGTATTTAAAGTTCGATTGTTATTTTAGAAAAAAAATTCAGCTTGCAAAAGATTGCAGATAATCTAAACATGAAGATTCCGAAAGTGAAGTTAACAACTTTATCAGGTATTATTATATATATGTTCAATTAATGTATAATTGTTATGTTAAATCTTTAACCTAATACAATTATGTTCATGAAAAATGGTTTAAAGTTTTATAATTAGTACATAAAGTTTACTTATAAAATTATATTTACTTTATCTTCATAAATTTGTTTTAAAGATTTTCAACCAACTGCCAATTCCAATGCTACGTTAAATGTTGATACATCAAATGTGACATAAAATCAAAGAAGGCACTTGCCTTCCGTCAAGCAGTAACTGTGATACTGAACAATGCAATATAAAGTCTAATTTTAATTTGATAAGTTGTGATAATACAAATGACAGTGATAATATTAAAGATTCTGCGCATTTGACTGTAGATGATCCTTGTATCGATGAGAATCTTAATACATTAGTTGTTAGTAACAATATTGAGAAAAGCGGTGAGTCTATGATATACATATAATTAATCAAATTTTAATACATTATACAGCAGACATTCTAGATACAGTCTTTCTACGTATTTTGCCTGACAACACATTAACAGCTTTTGCAACATCATCAATTGCTTGCAATAAAATGTCTCTACCCTATTTTTTATCTTATTTCACAGATTCTCCAACAACTGTCAATTCCAATGCTACTTTAAATGTTGATGCATCATATGTGACATTTGAAATCGAAAAAGGCACTTGCGTTCCATCAAGCAGTAACTGTGATACTGAACAGTGCAATATAAAGTCTGATTTTAATTTGATAAGTTGTGATAATACAAATGACAGTGATAATATTAAAGATTCTGCGCATTTGACTGTAGATGATTCTTGTATCGATGAGAATCTTAATACATTAGTTGTTAGTAACGATATTGAGAAAAGCGGTGAGTTTATGATATACATATAATTAATCAAATTTTAATACATTATACGGCAGACATTCTAGATACAGTCTTTCTACGTATTTTGCCTGACAACACATTAACAGCTTTTGCAACATCATCAGTTGCTTGCAATAAAATGTCTCTACCCTATTTTTTATCTTATTTCACAGATTCTCCAACAACTGTCAATTCCAATGCTACTTTAAATGTTGATGCATCATATGTGACATTTGAAATCGAAAAAGGCACTTGCGTTCCATCAAGCAGTAACTGTGATACTGAACAGTGCAATATAAAGTCTGATTTTAATTTGATAAGTTGTGATAATACAAATGACAGTGATAATATTAAAGATTCTGCGCATTTGACTGTAGATGATCCTTGTATCGATGAGAATCTTAATACATTAGTTGTTAGTAACAATATTGAGAAAAGCGGTGAGTCTATGATATACATATAATTAATCAAATTTTAATACATTATACAGCAGACATTCTAGATACAGTCTTTCTACGTATTTTGCCTGACAACACATTAACAGCTTTTGCAACATCATCAGTTGCTTGCAATAAAATGTCTCTACCCTATTTTTTATCTTATTTCACAGATTCTCCAACAACTGTCAATTCCAATGCTACTTTAAATGTTGATGCATCATATGTGACATTTGAAATCGAAAAAGGCACTTGCGTTCCATCAAGCAGTAACTGTGATACTGAACAGTGCAATATAAAGTCTGATTTTAATTTGATAAGTTGTGATAATACAAATGACAGTGATAATATTAAAGATTCTGCGCATTTGACTGTAGATGATTCTTGTATCGATGAGAATCTTAATACATTAGTTGTTAGTAACGATATTGAGAAAAGCGGTGAGTCTATGATATACATATAATTAATCAAATTTTAATACATTATACAGCAGACATTCTAGATACAGTCTTTCTACGTATTTTGCCTGACAACACATTAACAGCTTTTGCAACATCATCAGTTGCTTGCAATAAAATGTCTCTACCCTATTTTTTATCTTATTTCACAGATTCTCCAACAACTGTCAATTCCAATGCTACTTTAAATGTTGATGCATCATATGTGACATTTGAAATCGAAAAAGGCACTTGCGTTCCATCAAGCAGTAACTGTGATACTGAACAGTGCAATATAAAGTCTGATTTTAATTTGATAAGTTGTGATAATACAAATGACAGTGATAATATTAAAGATTCTGCGCATTTGACTGTAGATGATCCTTGTATCGATGAGAATCTTAATACATTAGTTGTTAGTAACAATATTGAGAAAAGCGGTGAGTCTATGATATACATATAATTAATCAAATTTTAATACATTATACGGCAGACATTCTAGATACAGTCTTTCTACGTATTTTGCCTGACAACACATTAACAGCTTTTGCAACATCATCAGTTGCTTGCAATAAAATGTCTCTACCCTATTTTTTATCTTATTTCACAGATTCTCCAACAACTGTCAATTCCAATGCTACTTTAAATGTTGATGCATCATATGTGACATTTGAAATCGAAAAAGGCACTTGCGTTCCATCAAGCAGTAACTGTGATACTGAACAGTGCAATATAAAGTCTGATTTTAATTTGATAAGTTGTGATAATACAAATGACAATGATAATATTAAAGATTCTGCGCATTTGACTGTAGATGCTCCTTGTATCGATGAGAATCTTAATACATTAGTTGTTAGTAACAATATTGAGAAAAGCGGTGAGTCTATGATATACATATACCATAATTAATCAAATTTTAATACATTATACAGCAGACATTCTAGATACAGTCTTTCTACGTATTTTGCCTGACAACACATTAACAGCTTTTGCAACATCATCGGTTGCTTGCAATAAAATGTCTCTACCCTATTTTTTATCTTATTTCACAGATTCTCCAACAACTGTCAATTCCAATGCTATTTTAAATGTTGATGCATCATATGTGACATTTGAAATCGAAGAAGGCACTTGCGTTCCATCAAGCAGTAACTGTGATACTGAACAGTGCAATATAAAGTCTGATTTTAATTTGATAAGTTGTGATAATACAAATGACAGTGATAATATTGAAGATTCTGCGCATTTGACTGTAGATGCTCCTTGTATCGATGAGAATTTTAATACATTAATTGTTAGTAACACTATTGAGATAAGCAGTAAGTGTATAACGTATAATTAATCAGATTATAAAACATTTTGCGGAGCATGTTCTAATATTTATTGCCAGTACTGAAAATCTATAATATACATAAACTATAGATTTTCAGTACTGACTGTGTATATCGAATATGCCCACAGTGATCATTCTATATGCAGTTTTATTTACATATTTTGCGTTACAATACATTACAGCTTTTGCAACATCAGTTACTTGCAATAAAAGTTCTCTACTTTATTTTCATAAATTTTGTTTACAGATTCTTCGCCAGCTATTAATTCTAATGCTACGTTCAGTATTGATACAGCAAATGTGAATTACGATATCGAAAATGTTTCGACAATAAGTAAGATTTCGGATGTTAAACAGAGCGTTCAATGTTGTAATAAATTTTATTCTACTTCTAAAATATGTGAAAATGCGAATGTTATTGAGAAATTTAGAAAAACTAAAAAACCTAAAAAAACTCCGAAGATTCTAGAAATACAAAATGTTAAGATATTACTAAAGAAGATTCCAGTGCACACAGAGAAAGTTGATAATATTACAAATAGTATACAGATGAATAATACGTATAATATCGATAATAGTGATGTTTCTTCAAATGCAAACGGGACTTACGTTATCGATAATATTTCAAGTGAAACATCTTGTCCAGTTGCAGAATCTACACTCATAGAGAATCAGTTAGACTTAGAGTGTGAAATCCATAATAATAATTCTGAGTCTGATGATACATCCATTACATCTAAAAATAATTTAGATAGTAGTTTTCATTTGTCAGATTGTTCTAAGCTTGAAGACACAGATGAAGATGAAGATGAAAATGAAACTAAAAATACACATGAACGTACGATTAATACAAGTAAAAATAAATCTGTGAACAGGACATTAAATTTGACATCAACATTTTCATCTGAAATATGTGATGATAGAAATATGTATGTGGAAACTTCCAATAATCCTAAATTAAAACAAAATATGTGCGTATATTGTGAAAAATTTCAAGCGCAAATTGCAAGACATTTAGAAACAGTACATAAAGAAGAAGAAGATGTGAAAAAGTTTCGTCTTTTACCTAAGGGTAAGTTGTATGTTATATACAAAGTTGCCAATACTATTTATAATATCTAAAAGTTAATTGAAATCGAAGTTCCTAACGTGAAAATGTCGAAGAAAATCATTTATCATAGCTTTTCAAATTTTAATACTTTATATATTTAAAATTATGTTTTTTAAAGTGAATATCTATTCAAGTTAATCACTCAAAATTTTAAAAATAAAATTTTGTTATCTATATTCGGCTAATTACATTCAAAAACGTTTTCTTGTTTAATCGCTCATAACTTGAAAACTGTGAATGCATCATCTTTCTTATTAACACATTTCCATATATAACTTGTACATATACTACTAAAGTATATGTATAACTTCATTTTAAACAATAGTCTTTAAATTTAAAAAAATATATAAAAAATTTTGCCAACTATAATATTTGATCAAATAATTTCTGATACTTTTCAAATATTAATAATTCATTGTGTGTATATTATGTGTAAAATTTTTAATAATTTACTTTTAATTTAATCATAATTTATTATACATTTTGTACTTACTATTTCAGATAATCCGGAACGAAAGAAGATTATTGGTCTACTTAGACGAAAAGGAAATTTCATATATAATACTAATTCTAACTTAAATAAAGGAGATTTAATTGTATGCCGGCGTCCAAGAAATGAATTGAATAGACAAGCAGCCGATTTTATTCCTTGTGCTAAATGCAAAGGGTTTTTTTCTAAAAATAATATAAGACATCATTTTGCATCATGTGCGCCAAAAAGGGAATATCCTCAAAGAAATGTTAAAATATTGGGACGTACTGTGGCTTGTCGAATTCATTACAGTGCAAATACACCATTAAGAAGATTGGTGTTCCCAGTAATGAGGGAAGACAGCGTAACTCAAATTATTAGATATGATGAACTGCTAATTGCTTTTGGCAATAAAATGTGTCAGAAATATCGTCTCCAACATCAGCACGATATGATTAGAGCGCGACTGAGATTACTTGGACGATTTCTTATTGTTTTGAGAGATCTCGATAATAGTATAGTAGATTTCTCTTCAATATATAATCCAACAAATTATGAACAATGCATTAAAGCTGTAAATAAACTTGCACAATTCGATGAAAAGACTTGGACATATAAAATACCATCTATTGCAACATCTTTAGGAACACTTATAAAACAAATTGGGAAACTTTTAAGAAGTATATGCATTAAAAAACAAGATTGTAGCAAACAAACTGTGGTAGAAAATTTTTTGAAATTATTTGAAGAGGATTATCCTGTTGCTGTAAATAAAATTGTGTTTGAAACTCAAGGGCATCGAAAAAGGCAAAAGAATATTGTCTTGCCATCTATAGATGATATAAAAATATTCAATGCTTATCTCAAAGCTGAACGCATAAAAGCTCTAGAATCTTTACAAACAAATGGTTTCTCAATTCACGCATGGCGTATGTTAGCTGAAATAACATTAATATCGATTATGATATTTAATAGAAGACGTGCTGGTGAACTGGAGCGTGTTTTAATTGAAAATTTGGAAAATTGTGCGGCAATTTCAAAAGAAGAAGCACCTGAATTATATAAATCTTTATCTAAATATGTACGGATGACAATACGCGGCAAATTAGGGAGAACGGTTCCTGTGTTACTTCATGAAGAAATATTAAAATGTATGCAAATGATTATTAATTATCGTAAAGATGCTGGCGTACCCGAAAATAATCCTTATATTTTTGGTATATATTCACTTGACAAAAGAAGATTCAAATATTTGAGAGCATGTGTATTAATGCGAAAATATTCTGTAATTTCTGGGGCAAAAATGCCAACTTCGTTACGAGGTACAATATTGCGGAAACATATTGCTACAGTATGCATGTCATTAGAGATATCTGAACATGAAGTGAATGATCTAGCTGATTTCATGGGCCATCACGAAAAAATACATAAATCGCACTACAGACAGTCAATCGTAACAAAAGATTTGGCTATATCACGTTTACTCAAATACGCACAAGGAGGAGACACAACAGATGAAAGTGATAATGTTGATGATGAAAATGAAAACAGGGATGATTCGATTAATAATGATAACTCAAATTTAAGTTTAAATACTTCTGATACTTTATCATTAATACAAACGAGATCATCTAAACTGCCACGTTTACTCAAATACGCACAAGGAGGAGACACAACAGATGAAAGTGATAATGTTGATGATGAAAATGAAAACGGGGATGATTCGATTAATAATGATAACTCAGATTTAAGTTTAAATACGTCTGATACTTTATCATTAATACAAACGAAATCATCTAAATTGCCTAGCAAAGAAAAAATTATCAATAATCATCTACATAATAATATCGAGAAAACAAAAGGTACGTGGTGGTTTGAATAATATCTATATCAAATAGTACACGTACTGTGCTCGTTGTTTTAACAGTTCTTACAATAAATATATAAGACAACTTTAGAAAAATACTGTTTAAAATAATTATTAAATATTAGATATAAGAAAAAGAAAATTTGTATTATTTTTTTCTATATATACATAACAATTATGCAAAAAAAATACTTTTTAATTTTCCAAAATTATTTGCATTTTTTAAATAACATTTTTTAATTCTTTCTCTTATCATTTAGTAATTATCTCAAACGGCATTCATTTAGAGACATATTCTATATAAACATTAGATACTACATATTATATACTATACTAAATTCTATATAAACATATATATATATTATATTAATTTTGTCATTATTTTAGGAAACCGTTTGGCTTCTAAGAGGAAAGTTAATTATAATATTAAAAATGTGACCGAATCAGATGATGAATGTAATACAGAATCAGATTTAAATATTTTATCAAAAAGAGCAAAGCAATCTGAACAGGTGACTAGAGGAAAGAATAACGTAAATAATAATACACAGAGGCAGAAAAAAGAATGAGTAAGTTTAAATAATTTTTCGATTAAGTAATATATGTTGTTCTTTATTAAACAACATATTTCATAATAAATGTACTAAATTAATGTAATTTTATTATTATTTTAGCATCTGTTGTTGGTTCTACAAGAAATAGTACTCATAAGATCAGATGGACGGATGATGAACGCACAATAGTTTTATCTTCATTCCAACCTGCCATAAAAAATAAAAAATTGCCATCTCTTCGTGAAATTAACGAAATAAAAATTAAATATCCTGTATTAAAGGCCCGTACAAGTGCTCAGATAAAAAGTTGGTTACATAACCAAATAAGAAAAAATACTTAAAACTATTATCATTACAATGTGTCGTTAAAATTGCTCTTGTCGTATATTCTATTCTGCTATTGTTGTTTTCATAAAAAAAGATGTCCTATTACGGTTTGTACATGTTTTAAAATTATATAACTCTTCTGATTCTCCTCTAACCAAAGGAAAACAAGTTTTTATTTTAAAAAATTAATGGTTCAAAATTGTGCAACGTTATCTCTACGAATACGAGTACTGCTTTCAATATCAAAATATCAGATATTACAATGAAAGAATTATATTTTAACATTGCACCAATGTGATACATCTTTATTAAGATTCCGTACAAAAACAGTCTCTAAACATTCCTTTTATTGTAAGAATTATAATAGATTTAAAATTATTATATAGATTTAAGATTATTAAAGTGCTTATAATTATAAAATATAATAGACAAGATTATTTAAAAATACTTATATATATTAATAGTCAAGAAATTATTATTTTCTTAAAGATTGTTATTTTCTTAGAGATGTTTTATTATTTTGTATCCAAGATAGATTTTATATCCAAGTTAAACTTAAGAGTTATAATTTTTTTTAAGTTTTCTTATATATCATAAATATATCTTATTATGTGTAATTCCTCTAAACGTATATAATATTAAACATAGAATACATACAACTTTTGTTAAAGTATGGCGAACAAAATTCACTTAAGTACAATAAAGCACATTTATATTTGATATATATATATATATATATATATGATTTATGCAAATAAACATTTCATGGAGACCTAAAAAAAGATTTTATTATAATTTGATAAAGTGCAATGGAACGTATCAGCAATTAAGATAATTTTCAAATAAAGATATTGTATTTCAAATATATAATACAGATAACATGTTCAATCAAAAAACATGTAAATTATATATTTATTTAGACTAAACGTTAATAATAATTATAAAATTTTATTAACGTTTACAATATATTTGTGTAATATCATTCGTGCGTGTCGGTACATATTAAGGCGCGTCATTACGTGTAGATAGACGCGCATGGACATGTGTGCACTCATGCCAGCGCGTACACGTTTCAGTCAAATAAATTGAAAACATAAAGCCGTTTATAGTCATTGTCTATATGCCTCATAATGAACTTAAGACGATTTAACTGTGTATATCGGTAAATAGATACTTAAAATCTAATTTTAATGATGTGAAAGTATACGAAAATGCAAAAACTATGACGAAGTAATTAAAACAGCTAGAAGTCATCGAAATAGTTAATGTTCACGAAAAATCATTGTCAAAATCGATTTACATATATATATATATATCAATTAACACGGTGTAAAGGTTGTTTTAACGACAAATATATACAAAATATATGAAATATACATATGTCGTCAAAATTACCTTAATGTAGCTATAAATTATATATTAATCGATCTGGTGTAAAGGTTGTTTTGAGGACAAATATATAAAATATACATATGTCGCCAAAACAATCTTTACACCGGGTCAATTAATATACAGTTTATAACTGTATTAAGGCATTTTTGCCGACCAGTCGTCAAAACAACCTTTATATCGTTACAATATGTAGATCTGGTCGTAAAAACTGCCTCTGTGCATTAAAAACTATATATTTTATATACACTGTCTTTGAAACTGCCTAACCATAAAAGAAGTAGTCAAAACTACCATTTTGTACTTTTCCACACATTATTAAAAAACTAGATGGAATTTTTTGAAACGGTTTGTTGCATGTTACTCTCTGGACATTTGCGCATATTTTCATATTGAATAAAAAAAATGTCGTCAAAATTGCCCCTAGACATATATATATATATATAACAATGTGTATATATATGTGTATATATATAACAATGTGTATATATAATTATTTTTTATAAAATTACAAGTTATATAAAATGGGACATCCTATTTAAATATCCTATATATATATATATATATTCTATATATATATATATGTATATATAGGATATATATTTAAATAGAATGTCCCATTTTATATAACTTGTAATTTTATAAAAAATAATTATATATACACATTGTTACACATCATCTTATACGCATATATTTGCGTATAATGTCGATGATAAGAATATAAATATAAATGTGTTTTTTTTTACTTTATTTGAACACAATTTATTGTTCACTTTGACATACATAATATGTATATGTGTTTCTATATTTATATTTATATGATGAAAAGGTACAAGTGTCTGTACAATTTCTTTTAGACACTAAAAAACATGATATAAAATGTACTTCTAATTTAATTTTTTGTTGCTCTCTTATTTACACCTTTTAGTATAAAGCTTTTTCACCACGACAAGGTAGGTGTAAATCGAGAAAGAATTTTTGTTTCATTTTACAGGGAGAAGAGACAAGTGCTGATATTTATAGCAATATTGACATTTATGTATTATTTGCAAAATCGATATATATATAATTTCGATATATACAAAAACATGCACCTCTTTATGTATATATCGTTAGATATAAATACATAAAATTTGTGTTATATTTATTTGAGGCATCTTTTCCTAAAGATTCTTTTTTTAGAATTTTGGAAAAGGCGACAGTTTATTTTCTTCGATAATGTAAAGAAAATGTTGCCTCATATTATCAATACGATTCGAATATGTCATATTACAAGGATTTTCTCCTAAAGCTATAGTTGTAGCGAAAGCTGCAGCATAAATTCCACAACATGTGCCATCAGGTTGTTTTTGAACCTTTTCAAATATAATATCATTTGCACTTATTTGTGGATAACGACGATGAATGTAATTTTTTTCTTTAGGCACCAATTTATTGTATGTACAATCGGGTAGACTGTCATACACTCGAAGCTTGGTGCCGTCAAAAAATATACATCGCCAATGATTACTGCAATTTCCTCCAATAATTTGTAAGCTTTTGTCGCTACGACTTGCTTCAATTAAATGAGAATATTCTAAATATAACACACTTTGTGTTTCAAAAGGACATGTATTTTTTACGACGCGCAAGAATTTGTCCAATGAATCGTCGTTTATTAGACTATCCACAGGTAATACATTTTTCTCTATTTCACTATCAGATATAGGACGATTATCGAGAAAATTTTTTTGTCGTGCCATATCGTTTTCAGTTAGTTCTTTTTTATTTTGTGAGTAACTATTTACAATAGCGCAATCGTCATCTTGTTCCGCACTTATAACAGTAACAGGAGTGACAGTTGCTTTCATAGATAAACTATTATATTCGCAACATTGACTTTCTTTGATAATATTTTTGTTTTCTGTATTACATTGTCGACAACTATTTAATTTTTTTACCCCTTTTTGAGCTTCTATTATATAATCTGGATTTCTAATAGGCATATGTCTATTATGCCGACTATCCAAGATTTCTGGCAGCATGCAATTATAATAGAAATTTGTTAAAAAGGGTAGCATTTTATTACTCCAAAAATCATTATCCTTTATAACACGTATTATTTTTAAGCTTTTTGGCGTCCACATAGTAAAAACACAATATTCTCGCCGCGTTATATTTAACTGGCCTTGAATTTGATAGAAATATTTATGATTTTTATTCATTTGTTCTGAATTTTTCTTATCAAAGATGTTCTTTAGTGGAGTCATCTTTATAGCTTCTTCAGCTGTTAAGTTCTTAGCTGAGTGCGGACATTTTATTTCTACCAGACCGTCTTCATCTATAAGTCCATCTGGAGAAGCACCCAAGTATGGATGTTCAATATCAATGAATAATCCACAAGGTTTAATCTCTTTTTTTTAGTATTTCGACTAATTCTTTTCTCGCAATTGGTTCTTTTTCGCGACCATATTTTATTGCCTCGGTTTCAATAGCAGAAGGATATAAAATATTTTTCACAGGCAATGCGCAAGACGTTTTCATTCTTTTACAACATACGGTTCCAAAATTAGATGCCGTTAACATTTTACGTCTCAATTGTAGCCATTGTTGTGATTCATTTTGTTTTGTAGTGTCGCGTTCAATTTTTTGCCAATTTTTTGCATTTTCGGACAATTTTTTAAAATGATTTTGTCGAAATTGCTCGATTACATCGGACGGTAGATCCGGTTTTTGCGAGTGTGGACCATAATAAGAGTCTGTTCCCGATTTTTGTTTGAATTTTTTTGATCTTCCTTCTATTTGTCGATACTCTTTATTTTTCTCTAATTTTTCTCTTCGGCGCTTCTCCAACTTCTCGACAATAGGCGGAACAGTCTTATTCATGCTTTTATGTACTTCTGTAATTACTTGTTGCGTATTAAATTGCAAAACTGCCCCCGCAACTCTAGCATTGTAACCACCTTTTTTATTAACAAGAATACGTTTGCCGCCAATTTGTGCGCAGATCGACGAATTAAATGACTCTGTAATGTTATTCGTATAATTTAACAATAAGCTGTCAGAGTAACCACTTATATACTCGACAGCTTCTTCTATTTCTAAATAGAGACCATGTGATTTTAAAGAATCTATATAATTTTCTTCTCCATCGCAAGTCTCTTTGCCACGTTCTTTGCATTGCTTGTGATCGCCAAAAACATGCCTAGGAATGTTTAAAATATCTGTTTGTAATTCCATAGCCTGACGATGTTGAGGTTGCCGTTCTTGTCTTCGTAGAGCGGCTGCCTCAGTTATTTCCTTTCGTATTTCTAAAATTT